TAATTTTTATAATATTTTTAGCTTTTAATAATATTTTTTTTATTAATATTTTTTATTAATATTTAGTTAATTTGCTTTATAATTAAATAAAATTACATATATAATACTAGTATTATATTGTAACGGCTAAGGTTCCCAAGGGATAAACTAGTCGTAGTTTATGTTGGCAGAACAACTAGGGCAGTCAATCTGAGCGGTTGGTTGTTACGTTGGTGATAGGTCGTAGACCGTAACCAAGTGATCAGAGTCAAAGAGTTGTAAGCGAAGCTTATTTAATATAATAATCTGTGTTAAAAGCTAAGAAGCTAGAGTCTATCTATGGAGCAAAATTGGGGGTCCCTATATACTACAATGGATTACTTCTCCCGTTATAATGTTTCCCTCTGGATCGCTATTGTGACCGTGATCCTGCTTACACGGATCACGGTTCCTTTTGCGATTTAGATGTGATGGTTACTCTGACTATTAATCTGTTGTCTGCCCTGCCTGTGCCGCCCCGTGGCTCATGCAGCCGGCCTAACCTGCAGCCTGCTTCCTGCATACGACTGGGTCGTAACATATATAAGCGTAAAATCTAAAATAATATTAGGTTATATTAGGCTAAAAATAATAAAAAACTAAAAAAATAAACATTATATTATAGCCTATTAATTATAATTACTTTATAATAGCCTTAGCTATTATTATATAATTAAATTTTATATATTATTATAATTTTATAGCTATAACTTATATTAAGTTATATTAAAAACCTAAAATACCTATATATATAATATATTTATAAAGTTTACCCTTTTTTATATTTTAAATTAATTTTATATCTAAGTTATTTACCTTTTTTGTTATTAAAACTATAACTAATTATAAGTTACTACCCTTATATATATATATTTCTTATAAGTATTTACTAATATTTATTATAGCTATTTATAAACTATTATATATAAAGTATAAACTAATAATAATAAGATAATTAATATAAGGGACTAGCTATACTTGCGGCTATATATATATATTACTAAATAGTAAGAATAAACTTAAAGGAAAAAGAAAAAAAAAAGGTTTTATCTCCTTCTTATTCTTCCTAATATACCTTATCTTAGCCTAAAGTTTATTTATACCAGGTCTGGTCCGGCTTTACTTAGGGTTTTACCTAGACCTTAAGGTTTTTAGTAGCTTAAAGTTTATTTATACTAGGTCTAGGCTGGCTTTGCTTAGGATCCTACCTAGACCTGAGCCTCTAGCTTAAGTCTATAATAATTAAGTATAATAAAAAGCCTAATATAAGTAAATTACTTATTATAACCTTTAAGGGTTAAAGCTAATAAGGCCTAATAAATAATATAATTATTAATAAATTAAAAACTTTTTATAATAAAAAAAAATACTTATTTTAAAGCTAAAAATTTTAATTTTATAAAAATTAAAAAAATTATAAAAATAATTAAGAATTTAAAAAAAAAATTTTATTAATTTATATTATATTAAATTACTTTAAGTTTTTTAAGGTATAACTTATATAATTATAAGTTATTATTATTATTATATATTTTTATTAGTATATAAAATTATAACCCTTCTAAAAAAGGTAAAACTACTAATATAAATTTATTTAATAGCTTTAATTTTATAAGTTTTTTTAGCTTTTTTAGCTTTTTTAGTTTTAGTTTTATTAGCTTTATGTAACGGCTAAGGTTCCCAAGGGATAAACTAGTCGTAGTTTATGTTGGCAGAACAACTAGGGCAGTCAATCTGAGCGGTTGGTTGTTACGTTGGTGATAGGTCGTAGACCGTAACTAAGTGATCAGAGTTAAAGAGTTGTAAGCGAAGCTTATTCAATGTAATGATCTGTGTTGAAAGCTAAGGAGCTAGAGTCTATCTATGGAGCGAAATTGGGGGTCCCTATATACTACGATGGATTACTTCTCCCGTCGTGATGTTTCCCTCTGGATCGCTGTTGTGACCGTGATCCCGCTTACACGGATCACGGTTCCTTCTGCGATCTAGATGTGACGGTCGCTCCGACCATTAATCCGTTGTCCGCCCTGCCTGTGCCGCCCCGTGGCTTATGCAGCCGGCCTAACCTGCAGCCTGCTTCCTGTATACGACTGGGTCGTAACACGATGTCCCCTCTCCCATGGTCTTGTTCTCAAGACCCAAGTCTCGTTTTATAAATAGCTTTGTAGCCCTTTCTTCTGTTGGTAAGTTCCCTCCTTCTTTTATTCTCTGGGATGTTTTGCTGACGCTATGTCTGGTCGCATTTCTAAGCCGAAATCGAACGCGAAGAAAGATAACGGTCGCGAACGTGCCAATCTTGTTGGTGTTATAGATTTATTTGGCTGCCCTGCGGACATGCCTTGTACTTATTGTTTTAAAAACGGTAAATCCTGCCGTATGGTGGATGGGAGATCGCGATGTAGCGAGTGCGTGCGGCGTGGTCGCCCATGTGATGGTGTTTTGGTGGCTTCTTCTTGTGGGTGCTGCCACAGCCCTTGTTTTGTCTGTATCTTTTTGCTGATAGTGTTTCTTAGTAACGCGCTTGCTGGAGTAACAGAAGAAACTGGAGTTGGAGGAGGAGGAGGCGGGTGACAAGCTGTTGGAGCTTCACACATAGCTGGCCGACCTTTAGTCTTAGCTCTCCACAGCCGTAAATCGATTAGCCCGAATACGAAAGATCTGGAATCGTGTCAAGGATAAGAGTTTGGAATTATTTCGTTGTGGTATGGCGGAGTTGGATGCTGAGGATGGGATTCTGCCCGCTTTAGACGCTTACGAGCGTTGGGTGGTGAATGATTTGGGTGCGATGGGTGTTCCTAAAGAGAGTGACTGGTCTGCTTTTGGGTTGGGCGAGGAGTTCTTGGATCTGGGTCCCCTTATACCTCCTGCGCCTTCTGGTGAAACTGCCTTAATAGGTGCTGGCACTTTCTTAGGTGCTTTATAGGTTCCCATGTGTTTTCTTCGTGTTTATAGTCTTTCTACTTAATGAGGTACTGGCGTGTTTTGTTTTTTGTCCTTATATCTAGGATTTGTTCCACTTTGTATTCTCCGTCGTCCAAGACTTTGATGTCTTTTTCTGTTGGTGCATTATTTGGTGCTTTCTCGAGAAGTGAAATGTGTACTATGGGATGATTCCTTATAGTCTTTGGTAGTGAAAGTTCGTAATTGTTCGCTGATATTTGTTTTTTGATAGCGAATGGTCCTAATTTTTTGTAGTCTAATTTGTTGCTTGGTCGCGTTGTTTTGATGTTTTGTTGGAGTAGGTAGACCATGTCTCCCTCCCTAAAGATTGGTCTCTTTAATCTTTTACGATTATGGTATTGTGCTATTTTGTTTTGTACGAATTCTAATTTGTGTCGCATTCCTTCATGTAATTT